CCCCAAAACCCCAAAACCCCATAATGCTAATATTCTACAAAGTAAGAGAGAAATAAAATATTTAAAATCAAAAGCAACTAATATTTAATCTCTCTAGAGTTTTCTAAAGGGTTTTAATTTCTAATGGTTTTCTAAGAATGTCATCAAATAAATTTCTAGATGAGTTATTCTATTAAACATGCTCATCTCCTGTCAATAGCACTATACAAGTATTCTAATCCATCTCATAGTTTTCTTTCATCTTAATCATTCTTTTTGAAGCTACATGGATGGTATTTGATTGTCGATGAGTATTAACTTCAATTGATGATGATCTTCACATCTCATATTGAACAATTATTTAACCTTCTCAATTGCTTACTCTCCATTAAAGCATTTGTCAAAGGATTAAATTTAAAGATGATTTAGCAAGCCTTACAAGGCGAAAATATTAAATGGATCATCATCGACTAAAAGGATCCTAGGGCACTAACATTAGGAGCGACTTCCTAACTAGAACTCTCTATTTGAATCATAGTCATTTATCTTTAATTCGCTATATCTATTAAAATTCGTTAATTAGCTTCCTGTTTATTTGAATATCGAATTCACATAAATTTATCTCTCCTCTTCCAACTGCAAACTGAATTTCTTTCTACATTATTTAGAAGCCAATTTTAGCTAATTTTCTTCATCAACAAATTCAACTGTTATATCTTAGTTTGATAGACCTAATTATCTTTCCTCAGCGGTTATATAATAGTCGAAATTTTCATGTAGTTTTCTAAGATTTTTATCAAGATTTATTGAGTTATTTTATGAGGTCACTATAGTGCCAAGATCTACACTTTATGATAACTAAGCATTTCTAACTTGCAGATTAGATTGGCATTACGTGGACTTAAACTCTATACATTGATGGTTCATCATCATTTTATTCATTGGCAACTTTAGTGTGAATGATGAGCCTATGTTTATTTGAGATTTAACTGTAATATCTCCTCCTAAGGCTTTTGAAAGATTTTTGCTAATTGTTAACCCCAAACCAACTCCCTCTTTGTTCAAATGTCTATTAGATTGTATTTTGGTAAATGCTTAAAATAGTTTTGAAATCTATTGGTCATCCATTCCTACGCCTGAGTCTAATACCTCAATATGAATGAGATTCTCATTTTAATGATAAGTTCCAGAGACCTTCACGAAACCCTTTTGAGTGTATTTGACTGCATTGGACAATAGGTTTATTATTATTTATTGTAGACGATTTGGATCTGTATAAATAATATCTGGAAAATTTTCAGACAATGTAGCTATTAACTTAATTCCTTTCATATTTGCTTTTAATTCAAGAATAGCAGCACAATCCTTCAGAATTTCTGCTATATATACCTCTGATATGTTAAGTATCAAGCTATTAGATTCTAACTGAGAGAAATCTAGAATATCATTAATCAAAGATAACATCAATTTGGAACTATTAAGAGCAGTTTTCATGTAATCTTTTGCATCTTGTTCTTATTTGAAGCCTTAGAGCACCTAAAGTGAGAAATTTATGGCATTTAATGGATTCCTTAATTCATGAGCTGCTGAAGCAAAGGCTATAGTTTTCAAGTTAGATAAATTCTTTTATTTTTCTATTTCAATCCAGCTTGATTAATCTCTTATTGTAGTCATCATGAAAATATTATTCCCTAGTTTTACACTTTTGTTAAAGACTTATAGTATTTTAAACTTTGTTTCTGAATACTCGCTGTTATTTTAAGTTTAATTTTTCAAAAATTTGAAGTATAACCCATCAAGAGGATTATTGCAAGGATCATAGTAAAATGGACTAGTTAGAGCTAGTATATTCTATTTTTAAATATAATCCCATAGATCACTAAAATTGTACACGCAACTATCATCAATTTCACTAATAGAATGCTTTGTTCAAATATTATTAAATTTAGGTTCTGTTTTCTAAAGTAAAGCTATCAAGTCAGATCCAGTAAGGTCTAATGCAGCCTCTGATTCATTCTGAGGATATTTTACTTCATCTATTAAATTTGAATCATTTGCAAAATCGTCTTAATCTTATTCTTTTTTATTTAACTTTTTATTAAGGTCAAAGACAGATATTATTGCTTTGTTTTTATAAACTACCTCATCTCCTCTTGTAATAATAATTCCATCATGATAAATTTTTATCAAATCGTGAAATAATTTCAGTAGTTATTTCTCATTCTTTTCTTATTAGAACCTCTACCGATCTCTTTAGTGATTTACTCTAGAATAGATGTACACCATTACTAAGCTTACGAAAAAGTATGCATTAAATCTATAAAATCTAAAGCCATCATCAATCCAGAAATAGGTCCGTGAAAGTGTATATCCGAACATAAAAATATAAGCAATACATAAATGTACTTGATTGTAACTCATAAATGCTAGAGAAGACAACACTGCAAAAGTGGCTATCATTCCATCTACCATAACCAAGTTGTTATTAGCTAAGATAACACCCTCTATCATGCATATATAGACAATAATAGACTGCATATGAGTGAAATATAAACTAAAGGAGACATATTTCCTTGATAAAAGACACATTGCAATGTTCTCAAAAATCAAAATGATATAACCTCCAACAATCTAATAATATCTATTCTAAGCACCATCAACTCTTTTAAACTTGTATGTAGAAAACCCAAAGTATATTGTGAAAAATATAATAACCTGCAAAGTTAGTATCATCAGAAATACTTGCACATTTTGATGGTATGCCAATACGTAATCTTGCTCAGTCTGAGAATCCTTAAATTTGAGTGACAATCTATTTTACTCATAAGATTGACTTATAGATTAGAGCAACTTGTTTAAACCTAAGTCCTTTACAGATTTCTCGTTTAATTGCTGTATTTTATTGGTTTGATTTTTGTCCTATATAGGTAACTTTTGCTATTTCATTTAATATTTTTTAAATCTTTAATAAGCTTATTAATATTGGAAGAATTAAAGAAAAGACATGCTTTTTAATCAAATCCCATTGAGATTTCATGGGGTTTTGGGGTTTTGGGGTTTTGGGG